TACACCGAGACAGCTTAACAGCAGCTGCACTGTCTGACAGTGCAGTTTATCACTGACTCTGGGAAACCTTTTCAAACTGCTTTCTGAAGCCTGGGATGATGGTTGTGTTATCGTCTCTCTCTCTCTCTCTCTCTCTCTTTTATCTCACTTTTGCTCTGCTAGACTGTGGGCTGAATGTACACAAACAGTGCTCCAAGCTTGTTCCCAGCGACTGCCAGCCGGACCTGCGCAGGATAAAGAAAGTGTTTAGCTGTGACCTCACGACACTTGTCAAAGCTCACAACGCAACGCGGCCCATGGTGGTGGACATGTGTATTCGAGAAATAGAACTCAGAGGTAGATCCATCACTTATTACTGGTAAAGGAAAGTAGAATACACAGTTATTTCTATTCCTTTACTCGTTTGTAATGTTTAGAAATGCCATTGATCCCTTTTTGTACAAAAGACGCCTGCATTTTCTTTGATTCATTTTTATGTTTTTCTGACAAAGAAACAGACACAAACCTTCCAATTTTCTCTTGCAGGTATGAAATCCGAAGGTCTCTACAGGGTGTCTGGCTTCTCCGAGCACATTGAGGATGTGAGGCTTGCTTTTGATCGAGGTTTGTTGACAGTGAATTCCTTTGCTCTATGCTCTGGGTTTTAGTTCAGAGGTTCGAACCTTTGAGTAAAGTGTTTCAGCTGCAGAGGAGCGTGATACAGTGCTGTATTTTATTTTGGAGATGGCAAAGGAAACCTACAGCAATGATTTTGTATTTTGGACAAATACAAAACGGCATCTTAGTCATATATTTTCTGTTTTGTGTCAACAGATGGCGAGAAGGCTGACATCAGTGCCAGTGCCTATGCAGACATTAACATAATTGCTGGTGCTTTGAAGCTTTACTTTAGAGACCTCCCCATTCCAGTCATTACATTTGACTTGTACTCCAAATTTATTCAAGCTGCAAGTATGAGTGCTTTGCTTTTGCTATTCCGCACCGTTACTGTGTTAGTACTTCTCTGCAGGGCTCTGATACTAATCATTTTACTAATGTGATGCAGAACTTCCAAATGCTGAATCCCGACTGGAGGCCATTCACGAAGGTTTGCTGCAGCTCCCTCCGGCCCACTATGAGACCTTACGCTACCTGATGGCTCACCTCAAGAGGTAACTTCGCCCACTAATCAGTTATGCTGTTGCAAAACTGACAAAAAGACAAGCTGTGATTGGATGACACTGGGTTTCTTCGTAACCATGAATATGGGCACTGTAGGTTGTTTTGAGTCAATCCTACATACCTGTAAAGATGCTCCACAGAACAAACTGTGTATTAACCTGCAACTGAAAATAGTCTCCAGTAAATGCACTATTTACATAAGTTTATAAAGATTTGTTGAAAACTACAGTGTCTGCCTAAGATTCAGACTTTTTTTTTTCATCAAGCTAATCTGTCCACTAGCTTCCTAGCTACTGCAGGAACCCCTCCTCCCACAAGGTTCATGTGCCCTGGCTGGAGACACTGAATGAACACATGGCTCAAAATAAAAACATGTCAAAACAACACTTGTCTGGATGCTTCATAAATCTGTTCCCTGTGCAAACTTGATTTTTTTTTTTCTTATTTTACAGGGTGACAATGTTTGAAAAGTACAACTTAATGAATGCTGAAAACCTGGGGATTGTCTTCGGTCCAACTCTTATGCAGCCGCCGGAGCAGAACGCCTTGACAACCCTGAATGACATGAGGCAGCAGAAGCTAGTGGTGCAGCTTATAATAGAGCATGAAGATGTATTATTCTAAGGAGCGAGGCGTCCGCCCATTACAAAAGAAGAGAAGGACAACTATTTATTCTATCAGAGGAAATTCAAGCCACCTTAATTCTAGTGAAGAGTCTGAATTCATTGTCGCATGACAGTTTCACTTTGTCGGTTTTAGTGTTGACATCGTCTTGTTACTGTAAGTTTCGGGTCTCTACGCTCAGCCAAGACCATCATTTAGATATTAGGAAAGGATCCTGTGTTTCTAACTACCTACAGTGCAGTTCCCTCCTCTGTTTAATTTGAAGACTGTCACTACCTGGTGTAGACTCAGTCATAATGACAGTGCTGTGTGAAATCTGCTCTGGGCACATTGTCAGTCAGTGAAAGCTGTGTAAACTAAGCCTCACAGATCAGCCAAGTTAATGTTTCTAACATGACGTGTGCATATGTTGTACTGTTTGCGAGAATGCTGGTTTAAAAATGGGATAAAACAATGCAGATCCTGTCATTGTACATAAAATCAGGTCATCCAATGATCGATATTTTGACTCTGTGTACAAACAAAGAGAAATAATAAGAAATGAGACAATTGGGCGCTCATAAAGCACTTTTTTGCAACGTGTGTATAGATTTATTTTGTACAGATGTTTATTTTTGTGTTTCTGCATTGTTCTTTGTCACAAATAATATATTCTGTCGGGGGCCGGTTGTTTGTGGACTTGTTTGTGTCGATGCAAAAACGGTCCTCGAAAGAAGAGTACTGTCAGAAAAAGCAAACGTGCGTGGGTGCACCATTTCGACTTTCAGTGTATTCAGTGTTATGTGAGGAATACACATGTGGATTAAACACTGGTCATTTATTCATGTCCTATTGAAGACTGCAACAGATGAGCAGAGCTCCTCTGTATACATGCCGGTTGCTCATGTTGCAGTGTTTCAGTATTTCATGCTGTAATTTGGAGTATTTTCAATAATGATCTGTTTTTTTTTCTTCTTCTTTTTTATTGCCAGTAACATTGCTCTGTGCAGCTTGAGTTGCAGTTTGCTTAACTGTCATACTAAAGCTGTACCGGGCGTGTTTCTTTCACACTTGGTTCGATTGAATCCTTTCTACAAATCCATTTGATCAAATTGTATTTTTGTGACAGTTGATAATGTAATTTATGAAATGATGATGATTTATTAAAGGTTTTAAAGCTTGAGTTTGAAATGGGGTGAGCTGCTGCAGTTTTGTGTTTTATAGGGATAGTCTGCACTTCAGTAAGTTGCAGTAGAAGTGGTTCAGGCAGAGTGAAGGCCCAGCCCTGTTGCTAGTGATGATTGCTTATATCCTGAAGCGCAGTGATTGGAAGAGCTTTTTTTAAAAAAAAAATCTCGGTTAACCAGTAACGCTACAGTGTCTTAACATTTAACCTCATTCTTGCTACATAACCCTCCCACTGATCCACTTTTACCTGTAGGTGTGTTCAGCAGGGTGGAATTTTTCTGCAGTGAGGGGGAAAAAACAGTCGTTCTCTTTGTGAGAAAGGACATAGTTGCACCACAGTGTTCACTTCCTGTTTGGTTGCTTAAATTCTCTCTCTGGCTTCAGAGCATATCCCTGGTTCATGGCAGCATTTTATTTAACTGGAACTACATTTTAGCAGGAAATGATTGCTATAAAAATATATCGTTAATCCATCACAGTTTATCTAGGTCATTATTTGTAAGATTATTAAGCGATTGGTTATAAACATCTAAAAAATTGTGGCGTAAATTACTTGCGCTTTATTCATGCATCCTGGAAAGCTTTCTGCACAGTATCATCAGATAACTTCTGGAGCCGTTGAAGCTTAGATTTACTGACAAGATATATGCCGATTTGATCAGTGCTAAGCCAAAATGACAGCACTGACAATAATTAGTGACTTCTTTCATCTGTGAAGCATTGTTCTGCTGCATAACAGATTGCAACTTAATATTACCAGCCTGCTGAATCATCCCTAAACTAAACTTCTGCTCAACATCCTGTATGGCTTAAATATCCTGCAAATGCCGTGTTCCATACTGTGATACTCCATACCCACCATCATATCCAGGCCACACTGTCAAGTTAACTAGTTTAGTAACAGTGGCCGCACTTACTGTCTGCTTCTTAATGACAGCCGGATTTTGTGTATATATGATTAAATATACACTGATAAGTGCTGTTGTATACTTGGGATTGAAGAAACACTAAAACACATTTTAGGCCTCAGCGCTGAAAGAAAATCAGTACTGTGGATGCCACTAATATAACATGATAGTTATTGAAAGCTTAGTAAATATAAATGAACTGGAAAAATATGAAGAGAAAATTATTTTAGCCTCACCACATGGAATATTTATATCCATCATTATAAGTGGCTCAAACTGCATTGCAACTGTCTGATGATTTTCTCTCGGCAGTAAGCAGTGCTATATGGGACTGTACTGCTACATTCTCATTTGGGTAATTAGGCAGCCAACATAGAAACTCAGGGAGAACGCTGGCTTTGTTATTTGGAGAGATTAAAGAGTTGCAAGCGTTCAAGAAAACAAAAGAAGGACAAGAGTGCCCTCTATTGACTGCTGAACAGACACACAGAAGAAAATACAGACATACTCACGGGCCTCTACACCAGTTCACCTACTCATTAACACAAACATCTAATTGGCCAGTCACATGGTAGAATTTCAACATGTTCAACACGACCTGCTGAAGTTCAAACTGAGCATCAGAAGGAGGAAGAAAAGTGATTTAAGTTACTTCTTACACAGCGTGGTTTGGCGCTAGATGGCCTGGCCTGAGTATTTCAGAAACTGCTGATTTACTGAGATTTTCCTGCACAGCCATCTTTAGGGTTCACAGAGGATTATTGAACAAACAAATAAATAAAAATATCCAGTGAGTGGCAGCTTCCTGGATGAAAATGTCTTGTTGATGACAGAACAGAAGTCAGAGTGAGAATGGACAGACTGCTTTGAGCTCATAGAAATCCCGAAACAATTCAAATAACCCCTTATTACAACCCAGGTATGTGCAAGATACAAAATGAATCCAATACTGAATGCAAAACAAGTTGAACCTCATTGCAGATGGTCTACAGAAGCAGAAAACCGCACCAGGTGCCACTCCTGTTAGCTGAAAACGAGAAGTTGAGGCTATAATTTGCATAGGTTCACAAAAATTGGACGATAGAAGATTAGAAAAACGTTGCCTGGTCTGATGAGTGTTGATTGTTTTGTTTTGTGGCATTCAGACATTATAGGCTATACCTTGCATCAACAGATCAGGTTGTTTTCTTAATAATACAATAAAGCCTTGTTTAAACACCACAGCCTACCATTATCATGCTTTTATGACTAGAATGTGCCATTTTCCTGATGGCTACTTCCAGCTATGTCACAATATACTTTTTCGGGGCATTAATTATAAACGTAGTAAAGATAAATTAACAAAGTTTTTTTTTATTTTCAAAATAATAGTTTAATGAATCCAGAACAGTGACCTAAATGCATTTGTGGTGGCATTTTCAGTGTATGTACAATAGAAATATAAATTAAAAAGTCCTTTTAATATAAAATAACATGACATCGAGCTGATATTTTCAAGTTCAGTCACAAAAATATGAGAGTGGAGTTCAAATAGTGTGAAAATATTATTTTAAAAAACTGATAAAAAAAAAAAAGTCTTTTACAGTTCATCGTGCTGGTAGGTGAACTCCCTGGCAGATATAAACCCATCTTTATCTTCATCCTCGTTTTTGAAGATGTCATCCACCATAACTTCATGATGTGTGTCGTTGGGTGAGTAGCCATGTTTCTCAAATTCCTTCTTCAAGTACTCTTTTACCTGAAAGGTGTGGAGAGAAAATAGTAATGACAAAATAGATGGCCAGGCAGACAGATCGCAAGCTAGCTAGCCAGATACCTCCAGTCTGGAGAGCTTCCAGTCATCATTTAGATCCATATCGCGGAAAGATTCGTGTGACCTGGGCCCATTTCGAATCTCCATGAGTTCAATGTCAAAAATGAGGGTGCTGCCTGGAGGAATTTTCCCTGTAAACCAACAAAAATGTCCAAGTGACAGAGATGTTACAGTGGAACGTTTTGTTTTGTTTTTTCTGTATGTGTTGCACATAGTTTGTGTTACCTTTTCCTTCCTTGCCATATGCCAGCGATGGAGGTACAGTCAGCTTCCTGCGCTCCCCTGTGCACATGTTCTGCAGACCCTTATCCCAACCCTTGAGCACCTCTCGGATCCCCAGGGTAAGCCACACAGGGTTTTTATCCCCATGTTTGCGGCTATCAGGAGTCAAAAAGAGACATGCAGTCAATATCCGGATGCCATACAGAGGACTGATATGCCAAATGTAAGTGGAATGAGGGTTAAGTGAGTGCCAGCCAACTATGTGAGGATATAAGTGTTGAGTTTGACTCTACAGCTGCACAAACGCAGAAATATGAGATGCTGCACATGTTCAGCGGCGTACAGTTTTAATAAGCAGTTGAGACTAAAGTATATGCAATACATGCATCACTGTTACATTTATTACCTGGAATGAAACATGGTGCCATTACTCTCCAGAAATCCCTCGTAATGAACAAGAAGCATGTCTCCGTTTTTTGACTTGCGGTGACACATGAAGGGTTTGTGTATCACCTCAATTTTCACTTCGGGCTCGGGCAGTTTTCCCCCAGTGACCAACACAAACAGTGATGCCAATAACGAGCAGAGAGAAAACAAGATCATACTTATAGATAACAGCACTTACTCATGAGAAGTGGATGAGATAACTTCAATTTCACTCTCTCTTTCTACAGAATTTAAAATAAAGACATGTAAAGAATGCCATACGTGGCACCCAACTTCTGCGACGAATGCACCCACTGTTGAGCTGTCTGCCCTCCTCCATCTGCAATTGGATAGCGTCATTCCTAAGCCCCGCCCTTTCTTTAGAATCTCTTCTTTCATTGATGCTTCCATGTGCCAATCACTACAATCCACACCTAGGCTACTTAAACCCATATGACGATGGAGGGGGGCGGGGGTGTGGTGAAGAAAGGCGATAGTAACGCTCAGGATCGGCTAGTGGCAGATTCACGAAAAAGTTTACGCACTTTTATCGACGTAGTTGGAATGCAAAGCGGTGGACGTTACTCCGAAAATCACACTCGGGCCCAATGGAGTCGCTACAGTCAGCTGGGCATCACGTCCTGTTGTGATAAACAAGTAATGAACGGGAAAAACACGCAATTAAATAATGGAAGGAATGCTGTATAAGTGGACCAATTACATAAGTGGTAGGTTAACACTAAAGTCTTTGCGTGCTTTCCGTTGTAGAGCTCGTTTTGAGGCTGCTAGCTAGCATGACAGCGAGTTTGTGACGTTAAAACGGACGAGCTACCGTTAGCTGCCCGCCAGCTTTGGTAGCGTATTGACCACTAGCATTCCTATCTTTGATAAATTAGCTGTTCAGTGAATTAGAGTTGAGCCGTTACGTCAGTCTTAGCTAGCAGCGCTCGGTCATGTCCACCACCTGTCGTTATAATCTGACTTCACAACCAATTAGTTGTTGCTAACATAACTTAAGTCTCGTCAAGTTCACGAAGCTGGGTAACGCTGTATGTTGATGACTTTTCTAATGCTAAAAACTAAGTGCAGTTTACAGTAACACAGCATTGATTCACTTATTTTTCCCATACGCTTTATAGGTTGGCAGCCTCGCTGGTTTGTGCTTCATGGAGGAACTTTGTCCTACTATGACTCTCAAGAAGATGCCTGGAAAGGGTGCAAGGGCAGCATTAAAATTTCCGTTTGTGAAATCCAAGGTCGGTGTGCTCCACTTTACTCTGTGCATGGTTTAACCAGAGCAAGCATCCTTTGGGTGCAGTACTGACAGGCATGTTCCCTTGCTTGCTGCTGTTTTGTTTTTGTTTTTTTAGTTCATTCCTCTGACTCTACACGAGTTGACCTGACCATACCAGGAGAGCAGTACTTTTACCTCAGAGCCATCAATGCAGCAGAAAGGCAGAAATGGCTGGTGGCGCTGGGAACAGCCAAAGCTTGCCTTACAGACAACCGAACCAAGAGAGAAAAAGGTATTTGGATACTTTACAAGATACTGTTGCAAGTAAAAACAGGGTAAAAGCGTTTAGACCTGGAATAGTACAGACCATACTTACATACAAGTGTTGTAAAGCATTTGCACGACTTCTCAAACTCTGATCTGCTGTCTGTGTGCACAATGAATACAGAGCTTCAGGAGAATACAGAGGCGCTGAAAACTAAGATGTCAGAACTCAGATTGTACTGTGACCTTCTCCTCCAACAAGTAAACAAGATCAAGGAGAATGATGAGCTAGGAGACACGCCAGAGGTAAGGTTAAAGTTTGGATGAGCTGATGAAATGTGATATGCTGCTGTTAGTGTGAAACTGCAGTATAGAGTAGCTAGTTTGCAGTTGCTATGTACGTATTAATAGACAAGAAACAGTTGTTGTATACGTCTTGAATCTTTTGGCTTGGATTTCAGCAGGTTTCGTTAGCAATCTACACCCAACATGTATGTTTGTGTTTCCTTCTCAGATGGGTCTAGACACTGGGAATATGGTGAAGTCTACATGCACGACTTTCCTTAAGACTCTAGAGGAATGCATGCAGATAGCAAATCGTACTTTCACTACAGATTTGGCAACACAGAGTCCACCAGGAACTCCTCCAGTAGCACCCATCAAACCTCAGAAGGTATACTTCTCTCACCAGCTCTGTGTGGGCGAGCTAGTATAATTGCTCTGGGATTGTTTTCCAAAAATCAAAATATGCGTAGTCACCCAGTGTTTGTCTGTGTTGTGCTGTCTCCACAGATTAAACACAGCCATCATTTAAATCAGAACCTTGGAGAAAAGTAGGTGGCTTCTCTTACTGTATTGAATGATTTTATCTCTCATGAAGTGCCACGTAGGTGCTAAAGGTAGCACAGAGCAAAGAGATGTTCAAACAAAAATACAGTTTCAAAAGGTTTCTGTTGATATTCTGCCATTGTTGTTGCATTTTGTCAAGGGCATAATTTCTGTCCCAGCTTTTTAGAATTGACACATTGTCCTGAAACATATTACAGGTGGAAAGATTTGTCCGAAACCTCAGGAGAAACAATTGCACATGACAGCCAGACCCTTGACTCCAGGCCAGAGGGACCAGATGAGCCAGGCAGACCAGAAAACCAATCTTCTCCATCAGGTAGGTCAGGTTGCCAGCCACTCGCTTTTCTTGCTGGGGAAGTTCCTGAACTAAAAACCATTACCGCATTCCACAAAGGAAAGACTACACAGCACTCAAGGGCCCTGGTTGTTGTTTGTGTATTCTATGAACTGAAGTGAATAGATTATTGCCTTTTAGTGAGTACAGTGATGGATGACTTGTTCCATTATTACATTTCCCTTAGCAGTGACAAAGCCTTTACACAAAGGGGCCATTGCTGAGAAATAAGACTAGTCTTTTCATACTTTATTACTTTGATTGGGATCTATATAGTAAGTCAATGGAGATGCAGAGGTTTTTAATGTTTATTTTCTTATATTGTATTTTAATGTAGCATAAGAAAATAAATTAATATATGCAATATAGCCATTTAAAAAGATAGCTGTCTCTTTGTGAGTGCTCGTATTTCTTCATATTGTCATCTCAGCTATACAGCTCTGGCTCTGGGTGCAGCTGCTTCACCCACCTGCTATTCAAATCTTCTGTTTGCAAGCATCAGCCAATAAGAAGAAAGTTGTCTTACAGGGAGAGATGAGGAACCTAAAATGGCTTGAGTTGCTGTACCAACTGTGAATTTGTGATTGCTACTGGAGTAGCTTTCTCAGGGTCATAGGTCGTGTTTAATAAAAAAAATGTGTAGACACTAGACTGATTTTTGACAGTCTAATTTGCAAAAAGACTCATGCATCGTTGTTTCATGCAGACACTGAAACAGCCAGCAGCTCAGAAGTCCACAAGGATCAAGTTAATCCTAGCTTACCTACTACCCAGACCACCCCTGAGATTGAACACTATGACCAGCCAGCAGAGGGGGATGACGAGAGTGAAGATGATGAACAAAAGCAGATAGGACAAGAGCAGATGGACAAAGTGGACCAAAGTCAGACGCATGACAACAACAATGGGGACGTGAAGGATTTTCGACTTCAGCACCAAGAAGAGGGTGAAGAAGAAGGCGAGATTCCCAGAAAGTCAACTGAGTCAGAAGACACAGAGCAGGTGGAAACATTCTTCAGCACAATGAGTCACAGGTATGAAAATGCCACTCAGGAAGCTCACATCCCTTAGGACACTTTACTTACTGTGGGAATTTAAGTATACAATTGTCTGTGATATTTCACTGCTGCAGTATTAAACTCATTTAATTTATATGTGTAGTATATTTGTAACTAAGGCTCTGCGCTTGTGCTGTATCTTCTGACTAGACTGCACAGTGACTTAGTTTGTTAATAATAATAGTGCTGCAGTATTGCACAGAATAGTTTAATAACAAGTTTGAAAAGTCAGTTTTTAAGATCTTACAGTCAAGTGTTTTATATCAGTGTGTTCTCTCTTGATCACATGACACAGAGAGGCCCTCGTCTGATATTTGGGTTTGTAAACCTGTTTTGTTAACTTTTCTTTCTTTTTCAAATACTTTTTTTTTTTTTTTTTAAGTTTCTGAGAGTGTAATCGAACATGTGGCTAGAGTGTGATTTACATCTGTACTGTTTGAGGTGAATGTTATTGTAATGCAGGAATCAAACAAAGGGAAAGATTAGTGAAAACCACAGCTCTTTTAAGTTTTAGATGAAGTAGTCTTGGGTACTTTTGTCAGAGTTGCATGATGTTTTGTGTGACTTGTCTCTCTGGCTTGGTTTTGAAATGTATGCTCCTCTAATTAGTGTGGATGTTGATTACGCATCCACAGTATTGTTCTTCTAATCTTTATTATCATGTTTTCTTTCTGTTTGCTTTTGGTCAAATAAAAACTGATATGGGATAGCTTCCCTCTAATATATTCTGCTGTTTGAATCTATTCTACTTCTTGTTTTTTGTTTTTTAGATTTAGTGATATAAGACTGGATGACGACAATGGTATCCCTACACAAGAGTTTTTGGACTCATGCTATGCAATAGTACCTGTATTAGGTAGGCCGGTTACTTTAAGCCTCTCTTCATCTTTATCTGACATCCTGTTCCTAATTCTCATGGTTCCCATTTGCATTTCTTGTAATCTCAGCATTTGTAACTCCGATAAAGAAAAAAAAAACAATCACTTTCATTTGCTGTTTTCCCCCTCTTTTATGTACATGTTCTGTCCTTCATAATCTTTGCAATTAATGAGGTGGCAGCTTTCTATCACAGGTTCTTCATCACACTTTTCCTTCATGTCTCTGTTACTTTCTTTTTGCACATGTATGTCTGTCTTTAGTTGTTCTTTGTAGCCCAAAATAATGTCATATGACAAGGTTAATCATAAGAATTAGGTCATGCACATTTTTGTGCTGTGTGCACACTTTGTTACTCACAGTGTATTACGTCATGATAAAAAGTCGCCATTCACAGAATTACAAAGTGAAGAAGTGCAAGACCTGAGTAACATGGAGCCAAAAACATTGTTTTTTTTGTTTTGTTTTATAAAAAGGGTCTGCCTTGTTTGTCAGAGTTATTCCTGTGTTAACAAATACCAAGGCTGAAGTAGGATTATTAGGAATTATCTTTAAACAACAGCTTTCAATTAGCACACATGTAAGAGGTTGAAGGGAATGTTAGTCTGTATTTCACATGAACTGACATCAGTAAAGGTTACTTACAGTGAGCTGTTTTCTAAAGTTAAAATTACTTATAAGAGAGAAACTTGATGTATGTAATGGTTGTCTATAGATAAACACATAAAACATCTCAATAAGCTTAAATTTGTATCTGAACTAATGTGACCTCTTAGCTAAAGCCTATTCCCAGCTTTGTTTGAAAGTTTACAGCCCACAGTGATGGTAAAATATTTTTGTCTGTGTGTATCCTATACTTAATACAGTCCAGTAGGTCTTAGAGTGCACCGTAATCCCTCATTTCAGTGTTATATTTAGTTTAAATCTGAAGGACATCTAAGCAGCCTGTTATTACTTAAAAACATCAAAACATTGTGCACTCAAAGTAGGACACAAGTTGAGAATCTGTGCTTCAGAACCAGCAAAAAAAGAGTTATCATAGATTCTCTCTTCTCAGACAAACTGGGATCCACAGTGTTTGCGCCAGTTAAAATGGATTTTGTCGGAAACATAAAGGTAAGAGCACATGATTTTGGTTAATCGAAGGAATAACAGTGAAGTTGGTCTTTAAAAGTTGCTCTAAATTATTCAATAACATTTTCAAAACTGCATTAAAGAGTAGAGTCCAATCAGTCATACAGTTTGTCAATAAAGAGGCATTTATTTCATTCCCCTTTTTTGTTTAGCTTTAGTGTTCTGTCCATTTCTTGTTAATATTTTTTTGTCAACAAGCATATTTAACTATATACTGTGTATTAAATATTCATTAATTGCAGTTAGTCGTTGAAAGTCAGAACAAAAATAATGCTTAGTCTACCAGAGTAGAGAGTACTATGTCACAGTGTCTCGTGTTCTGTTGTAGAAAATTCACCAGAAGCTGAGGTCAGACCCTGAGAGCTTTTCTACACTACAGTCTATTGTGCTGCATGAAGTAGAGACAGATGTTGCCCAGGTGCGCAATTCTGCAACAGAGGCTCTGCTGTGGCTCAGACGAGGGCTGAAGTTCCTCAAGGAGTTTCTGTCAGAAGTCAACGCTGGAGAGCAAGACATCCAGGGAGCACTAAGTAATGAATTTCTGTTTTACAATGCACATCTTAACATAAGTTCAAACATGTAAAAGTGTTGAATTGTTCCTCCTTTTCTTTCACCCAGACAACGCTTATGGGAAGACTCTTCGGCAGTACCACGGATGGGTTGTCCGTGGTGTATTTGCTGTAGGTATTTTTATTTTTTTACCCAGTCCAGTATTAATACCTTCTGAGTATATTTATTCTTTGTGTGACAAGTACTTGACT